GCGTGTAAGAGCTGGCTATCCGCCGGATCTCTTTGTTTGTAATATTGTTAATCTTAACTTAATACAAAATTTAATTTTCACACAACACTCCTCCAGTCAGAATGGACGGTTACACTATGACTTGCAGGTGTTTCAAAAAGCTTACTGAAACTATTCATATCAATAAGAATGAGATAAATTCCTCAAAAGGAGATAACAAATCATGACAAAATTCGCCAAGTTTAACCTTGTAAACCTTGTAAAGATCCATAAGATCTTTACAATGTTGTGAGAACAACCATCAGATATAAGAACAATCAGATAAAAAATCATTGCTTTACAAACAAGCAGATTGTCAAAATACAACAGTAGAAAATACAAATATAATACATGTAAAACACACTTGTCAATAAAAACAATAAAATGAAAATAAAAACGTATTCTGGTCATAATAAGAACCTCACAAGAAACTCCAAAATCATACCTTCATATGAAATCATATGAATTAAGCTAATTTATCAAAATGTAAGAACACAAATAAGAAACAAGTCTAAGTTGTATACACACCATATTTGTATAGTTAAAATTTAAAGAACAAAATTTTTATTGCATACTTACAGATAAACATGAAAATATACATGTCATACTTAATACATAAGTGTCACAAAATTAACAACCTAACATATAAATTCAAATGGGGTCTTATTACATGCTTATATCTGCATAAATGAGTAATAAATTTTAACAGATATTTAAAATTATGGTAAACAACAGAAGTATTTATATAGGTGGATTTATCAATTGGATTCAGTATGAAGATTATTATTTTTTATATTTAAAAAATTTATCAATGCTATAAAATGAGCGAAGATAGAAAGGAGTAATGTCTTCTTAAAAAGATTTATATTGCCATGCAGCTGTTTTATGTTAATTGGGAGATTATTAAATATCTTAATTCCGATAAATTGAGTACCTTACTGATAAATCGATAATTTAGCAGATGAAAAATAAAGATTAGAAATGTAAGATTTGAGGCTTTCACGGCGGTGACTATGAAGTCACTATGCACAGTCTGCTTTTACCGGTTCTCACGGTCTCTCCGCTTGCAGATTTCTTATATATTATTTCTTCTACCCTGAAGATGGAGGCGATACGTTCCTCCGAAACGTCGGTTAACACCACATATACACGGTGCCAAATCCCAGAAGACTGCTTTCTTCAAGATTAGAAATGTTTCTAGTCGTAATCGAATATGCATCTGAATTTTTAGTAAACATTTCCCAGTTGTTTACTACAAACATTAAAACAGAAAAAATATATAGAGAGGGCAGAGGTAATATTTTAAGCGAAGAAAATACCTTCCTACAAGGATCTTTGTAACCTACACCAACCATAATTCTGATAACTCTTTTCAGAAGTCTAAAAATTCCCCCAGAAAATCAAGCCATAAGACATTATAGAATGAAAATAGGCAAAATAAATCATTTTGAGGGCATCGATATTTAGAAATTGTTCAGATCTTCTGATAATATAACAGGCTGTATTCAGTCTCATTATAATTGATTCAGTGTGTTTTTTCCACGTTAATAGGTTATCCAGCATCAGTCCTAGAAATTTTACATCATTTTGTTCACGTAAATTATTTTTACCATAGGTAACATTTAGATTATCGGGGTAACTCTGTTTTGCAGAGAATTTCATACAGCAAGTTTTGTCAAGATTCACCGAAAGCATATTAGAATGAAACCATTCGTTCATTAATTTTAATACAATTGAAAGTTTGTTTTCTAGATTCATGAAGTTGAGATCATTTGTTAATACACTTGTATCATCAGCGAATAAAATTATTGAGGTATTATGAGGGCCAAAGCACTTAATAAAAGGAGGTAAGTCAATAATATAGACCAAAAACTAAAGTGGACCCAGAATCGATCCCTGTGGAACACCTTTGGTAATTTTTCCCCATTAAAGAATAGATTATTAAATTTTACTCTCTGATATCTATTAGTAAGGTATGATTCTAACAATAAATGCAGCCTACCTTTTATTCCATAATATTTTAATTTAGATAACAAAATTGTATGGTCCACACAATCAAAGGCTTTTTCTAGGTTGAAAAATATGCCACCGCACTTCTTTTTATTATTTAAAGTAGACAAGATGATATTAGTAAGTTTGAATATAGCATAGGTAATTGATAATTTATTTCTGAATCCGAATTGATCATTAGTAAGGATGTTATTAGCTTGAAAATGCATAAGTAGTCTCTTGTAGATAACTTTTTCAAAGATTTTAGAAAAGGAAGGTAATAGATTGGTCTACAATTTGCTACATTATTTATAACACCTTTTTTATGTAGTGGGACAATAATTGAATATTTCATTCTGTCAGGAAAAATCCCTGTAGATAAAGACTTATTTATTATGTAGCATAAAGGAGAAGCAATAAATGGTGCACTGATTTCTAATAGCTTCAAAGGAATTTTGTCGAAACCCTGTGAATTTTTCCAAGCAAAGTTCTTTATAATTTTTAAAATCTCACCGGTAGAAGTGTTATGTAAATTGATATTATTGTACTTAAGATTATAAAGCTGAGCCAAGTTGTATGGAGAGTAGTTCGTATTGTTTGTATTTAGCTTATTTTTATTTTTAATCTTTTCAGAGATATTAACAGCCATTTTTATAAAATATTCATTGAATTTTTCAGCATTAATTTTAGAAGAGAGTTCTTTATTATTTTCATCCATGTTATCTATAACTTGCTCATTGATATTTCTTCCTACGTTCGATTTTATAATATTCCAAGTAGCTTTGACTTTGTTATGAGCATGTGTGATTTTATTTTTAAAGTATAATTTCTTTGCAGCTTTTATTATATTAGCTAAAATTTTACAGTATCTTAAATAGCAATTTTTTAAATTTACATCATTGTTAGATTTAACTAAAAGATATAGATCCTTTTTCTTTTTACATGAATTAATGATACCACTGGTAATCCATTTATTTGTCGATTGTCTTTCAAAAACCTTTTTCTTAGGAAAACATGAGACAAAAATTTGTAGATATATATTCAGAAAAGAATTGTAAATATTATTCATGTCACTATTGGAATTATGAAATACGTTACTCCAGGATTCTTTACTAAGTTGATCTTGAAATTCCTGAACCTTGAATACATCAAATTTCCTAATGTATTTAATTTTCTTTTTGGAACATTTAAAAATTTTCTCATTTGTACATATATCGAGCATTTGGGCATCATGATCTGATAAGCCGTTTGGTACAGGAGATATACTAAAATGAGTAAATTTGGTGATATCAAGAAAAACATTATCAATAGTTGTACTTGAGTTTTTGGGTATTCTTGTTGGAAATTGGATTATGCTATTAAGATTGTAAGAGTTTTATAGATCATTTAGTTCTATTTTTTTCTTTGCATTCCTCAAGATAATTTACATTAAAATCACCACAAATAATTAAGAGGATATTGGATTTGTATACCATTTTGAGAATATCCTCAAGACCATTTAGAAAAAACTGAACATTACCAACTGGTGATCTGTAAATGGTAAGAATACAAATTTTTGTAGTTGACAGTTTAAGTTTAATAGCACATGCTTCTGAGTCTTTATCTTTACAAAATTTAGTTAAATTTATTGAAGTAAATGAAAGTTCCTTAAGTATATATATACATACACCCAGTGGCGTAGCATGACTACCGAAAGCAGGGAAGCAACTTTATATACGTGTATATAAATTTTTTCTACATACCCTATAGTTTCTATCTTCTATNATTCAGAAATACACATGACATGGGGTATATGTGGATATAAAGAAGCTACCAATTCGTCAGTTTTATATTGAAGTCCTAAAATATTTTGATGATAAATTTTTATAAACTGATTCAAATTATTTTTGAACTTTACGTTGCTTTTAGATACATTGTAGGAATGATTTACTGTTACTTGATCTCTCATAGAATGATCTATAGCTTGTACATGATGCAAATCAGTCCTCATAGTATATTCCTGATTTAACTTGACCATAAAAAATCATTTTGACTTGTCGAAATAGCCTTTTTTGTTCTATTTGATTTACGAGTCGGTATAAGCTTATGTTCAATTTTTTCTAATTCTTTATTCTTTGTTACATTATTAATCACACTGCAGTCATCTTCATAATCTTTGCCTT